AGGTGTTTGGGAATGGACTAGCACACCATTGATGCCGCACGACGGCTTCAAATCCATGGACATCTACCCTGGATACACGTGTAAGTGATGCCTTGAGACCATCCACACCAATCCTAATCTAATTATCTCGACAGCGGACTTCTTTGATGGAAAACACAATATCGTTCTCGGGGGCTCTTGGGCTACTCTGCCTCGCATTGCTGGCCGGACTACTTTGTGAGCATAAGCCCTGCGATATCCAGTAAACTGGATCAACTAACACATTTTAGTGTCAATTGGTATCAGCACAACTACCGTTACACATGGGCGGGTGCACGTCTAGTTAGAGATGTATAGATAGAGCTTGAGCAATGCTAATGTGTCCTGGAGATGTGCCCCTGAAGTGCTCAACGACGATGACCTCATTCTCACGATAAGAGATAAACAGCGGGGAACATAACGTGACTGCCCCTCATCTCTTCCCCAACCCCTTCTCCAATTCCTTGTCTTCTCTTCATATTAGTTGAATCATAAACACCTTGTATGATGCCGCTAGAAAATATCACGACTATCTCCCCTGCCACCAATGAGCCTGTTGTCACCCGCACCGGTGTCTCATCGGAGGAGTTGAAACAAATCCCTGTGGCCGCTCAAGCAGCTTTCCGATCATTCTCACAGTCCACAAATTTGGAACAAAGGCAGAAAATCGTGGAACGCGCTCTTGACATCTTGGAGAAAAAGAAAGATGAGTTAGCACGTGAGGTTACTGAGCAGATGGGCCGGCCCATTGCCTATACCGGTGTCGAAATTGCGACCGCTATCAAGCGCAGTCGTTACTTGACACGCATTAGCACCTCTGTGCTAGGCGAGCAAGGAATTGTTCCCGGAGAGGAGGAGAAGGGATTTAGACGGTATATCAAGCGTTCGCCTGTCGGTGTGGCGCTGATTATCTTCCCTTGGAATGTGAGTCCAATTCGTCAAGACATTGGTATACCTATAGCCGCTGATAAGTCAATATATAGTACCCCTACCTCACTCTTGTCAACAGCTTGATTCCCGCCATTCTCGCTGGAAACGCTGTTATCCTGAAGCCCTCCCCCCAGACTCCAACAATCGTCGAGCAGTTCGCCTCTGCTTTTACCGCAGCCGGTCTTCCCGAAAATGTGCTCCAATTCTTCCACTGCGGATCTTTCACATTTATTGAGACCTTGGTGCGATCCCCACTGGTGAACCATATATGCTTTACGGGTTCCGAAGCCGGTGGCCTGGCAGTGCAAAAGGCAGCCTCGGATCGAATTGTGAATGTTGGTCTGGAGCTTGGTGGCAAGGACCCAGCCTACGTGCGAGACGATGTAGATCTCGCCTGGGCCGCTGAGGAAGTTGTGGATGGCGCTATCTTCAATAGTGGACAGAGCTGCTGTGCCATCGAGCGTGTCTATGTCCACGAGAAGGTCTACGATGGTTTCATTGCTGAGGTGAAAAAGGTCCTGAGCAACTACCGTGTTGGCGAACCTTCCGATCCCAAGACCCAAATTGGACCAGTTGTCTCTAAGCGTGCGAAGGAGGCCATCCTTGCACACATCGAGGATGCCGTCCAGAAAGGCGCGAAGAACGAGACTCCTGCCAATGAGACCTTTGAGAACTTCCCTCCAAATGGGAATTATGTCAAGCCTACATTACTGACCGGCACTAATCATGAGATGGCCGTGATGAAGGAAGAAACCTTTGGGCCTGTGATTCCTGTAATGAAGGTCTCGGGTGATGACGAGGCCGTTCGCCTGATGAACGACAGCGACTTCGGTCTTACCGCCAGTGTTTGGAGCAAGGATGTTGCGGCGGCTGAGAAGCTGGTCGAGCGTGTTGAGGCTGGCACTGTCTTTGTCAACCGATCTGACTTCCCTAGTCCCGTAAGTCCAGTTCTTTCATCAACTATTGTCACCCTTCGCTAACGGAAGTACCTTATAGGACCTCGCCTGGACGGGCTGGAAGAACTCTGGCCGCGGTGTTACCCTGAGTCGATTCGGTTTCGAGCAGTTTGTCAAACTGAAGAGCCACCACATCAAAGATTACCCCAAATGAACCTATGTATAGGAGACAAGCTACATTTTGTCTGGAGAATAAATTTTATTACTTAAACTACTGCACCGAAAGCAGGAGAATTACTACATAGTACCTTCACGACGAAGCCACGATTTCTCTTCTCCTGCTATGCACCCATGCGGCCCAAGTGAGGATAGGAACATGAAAAAAGAAACAGGCTTATTCTTTACAACGACGAGAGTGCGAACGATTTCGCGTTTTACGTGCTCTTCAATACTACTAGTGACCCCGTGGTCTTGCTCATAGGATACTTTGAATTCTTGGAGAAGCTGACTTGTAATTATTCACCAAATTCTTGGAACATCAATATTTTACTTTTCGCGCCTTTACTCGTTACCAATATCAAGACTATGCCAAAGGCGACCATTTCATTCTCTGCCTCTTCATGCCACATACTGGCGAGTTGTCGTGTGCCGGCTGTTTTAGCCTGTTTCAGCTTCGATCCTCAAATGGCAGGTTTATTTTTAGCTTGCCAACTGCCGAGGTTTTAGTTGACTCACTTCTTACCTCTACCATCAATCGACCTTGTAACAAAACCTCGATCAGCTTTCAAGACTCTCATGATGTCAATCCGGTTGTCAGAGGATAACCCCTTCCAGTCCTTAATTGCAGAGGCAAACAACGATTCGGTAAGTCGATGCGAGAATTGTGAGACAATATCAGATGCCTAACCCTTCTTTACTCTAATAATAGGCAATATTACAATCTCGATACGAGAGCCACCGAGTTGCTCGCAATAGCCAGCAAAGTGCAAAGATCCTAGCCGACAGCTTTCCTGGCTGGTCCATTGACGAGATTTTGAAACGACTTGATGGCCCTGCAAAGGAAGATGGATTTGTCGACCCTCGAAACTGTCTTGTCATTTGGGCCAGACCCTCGCCGCAAGTTCGCGACTTGATATGCTTTATTCAAAATGAGTTGAAGAGCATTTCTCCTGGTAAGTTCCCCAATACACAATTCTCTGACTGGGAAATTCCCCTTTAGCCATTTATTTCGCTAACGTGAGGGGCTATAGCACTCTGGCTAATGCCACCTGAAAATCTTCACATAACTGTCTTGGAAGTCGCTCATTCCCAGACGGAAGAGCAAATCGAAAAGCTTGTCCAGGCCCTCCTGTCATCCAAGGACTTCACGCCTGCAGATATCGCAGCTTATCCACGCAGCCACCCTACACGTCTCATCAAGCCTATGATAGGCTTTGATTCCGCTGCACTGGCGCTCGGCTTTGTTCCGGCTGCTGGTGAGTGCGTAGAAGGGGAATCTAGTAGTGATAACCAGCACTACACATACCACCATCTTCGCCGAGATGTCTTTGACATGGTCCGACAAACCAAGGTCCCCGTTGCTTCGCGTTATATTGTTCCCTCGGCACATCTCACTATCGCAAGGTTCATCTCCCAGGACGGGTTTCTGGTCAGGGGATCAGATGGCGCAGAGACGGTCGATCATTCGCGTGTCAAGCTCTTGATTGATAAAATTGATGAGATTAATCAGAAGCTTGAAAATGAGTATTGGCCCAAGGAGGGTGCCATCAGAGAAGGGGGCGAATGGATTGTTGGACAAGAGGGTCTAGTCATTCGGAGAGGCCGTGTCTGGTATGGAGGCGGCGAATACGTGCCGCTTGAGTAGATATTTCCTTGAGCAGATCAATGTTTATTCTCCTAGTTTTAGAATGTTTTTGCAATTTGACTCTACGCGTACCGATGTTCTTACTAGACCCTCCTCGACGCGTCGTTCTAATGGTTGCCAGGTTACGCGTGAAAAGGAGGCATCCTAGCCCGGTGCATGGATGAGAAAAGGATCCACATAAGATATATCTCGGCGAGCGATGGACGCTATCGCAGAGTCGTACAGTTTCCTTTCCAACAACTTCGTGCCTAAGAGCCTGAGGCACTAAGAACAGCCGGACTACTAACATCACGTAGTGTTAACCAATTCCTCAAAATGAAGTAGAAGAAGAAGAAGAAGAAGAAGCAATGTAAATGTTATTTATGATAATCTGTAGCTTCAAATGGTAAATATTGACGAGTTGAAATGAAATAAATCGATGGTGAGCGCCAAGCCGCATTTAGGGTTGGTCCCACTTCAGACCCCCTATAGGGGCATCCTAGCCGAATCACGCAACAACAGGCCGGCTGGCCCAATGGCAAGGCGCTTGACTACGAATCAAGAGATTGCAGGTTCGATCCCTGCGTCGGTCATCTCTTTTTTGTTCATCCTTTGTAGGATCTTTCTATCTCTTACATTTGAGGATATGTTTTGCTGTTATTGATTGGGTGCAGTTTCGTGTCTTATCAAATACGACAGGGTGAGTTTGCCGCACATAAGAGCTATGCGGCGTGTTATCCCGAGGTATTCAACATTGCTTGTTTAGACAATTGAGAATTTTGCTACATGATCGTTGGATTTATTCGGCCGAAGTGCCCAAGTATAGGGAGGGGCTAGTCGCTGTGTTCAATGGATGGCCCATTTGACCTGGGTGTACGGTGTACCTTCGAAATAACAGAAGGATATAGAGATACAGTTGCAGCCGGTCTAGTAAGATGAAGTGGGTATAGCAAAAATATAGTATAGAGCCCTATATTACAGAGCCCACTAGTAAAAGCACTTTGGGTTAATTTATTCACCTATTACATCTTAGTGTAGAAAATCCCTCTCTCGGGATTAGCATGTACCAAGGTCAAATTGGGATAGATATTTAAGCAGTTTCTGCCAGTCCAAGACGCTGTTTAGCTTGTTACAATGCCGGTATTCGGAGGAGTCCCTATCTATTATACAAAATAGTGCAGGGGTGAATCCTCCGTGAACCCTCCAGTCCACAGCGGTAAAATACTACCTCTCAGTTCGACACAAAACCGACAACCGCATCCCTAGCCGTCCCGCCTTCAACACCACTGAACATGAGCCTCCTCTACGAAGTCTCAAAGCTTAGGTTGTGCATCAGCAGCAGATCTCCCAAACTTGTAATGGCTAGCTGCAGCTGTACTAACATCCAGAGCAAGAGCGAATGATGCGATTAGGCCCGCCAAACGACGTTTGGATCCTGAGCCAGTACATCCAAGTATCTCCAACGCTTCTCTCTGCGTGTCGTAGGTAGTCCCACCTCCAACGGTTCCTACTGGGAGACTTGGAAAATAGGTTGACACACAGAGCTCTTCGGTTCCCCGGTCGTATCCAGGCAGATTCTGCCACACTGGCAGCGTCTTGTCCACATGAAATGAACATTGCGGCCACAATATTGGCTTGGTTGATACTGTATCCCAACTGCCCATGTCGTATAGCAGCTTCCTTGCTATTCATTGTGCTCTGGTAAAGATCCCAAGTAGAACAGCCTAGAGTACTTTCACAGGCCTCTTTGGTGATCCTCCCCCACGCCATGACAGAAACGCCGCGCGAGTTTAAGATATTTCCCCAGGATAGGCTTTTCTCCGTTGCCAGTGATCCTTCGATGGAAATCTTCTGGAGTCTCATTTCTTGGGCTGTAGTAGATGCTGTGAAAAGGTCACATGCCTGCTGTGTAGCAAATGTGACCATGTTTTGGCCTGCAGCTTCCCCACAGTGGTACTCAAATATGGTGTGAACAGTGTTTCCCACAAGGCGAGGCGTGATTTTTTCGAGGCAGGCGTATTTGCTGGTAGATTCCGCAGCATCTCGGAATTCGGAGAAGAGATGAGGTAACAAGTCGTAAAATGATGCAGCATCTTCCACACAGGAAAACCAAAAGACAGGAGCTCTCGTCATGTTGTCTCGGAGCAGTTTGAATCGAACCCCGCCGCCGGAGTTTAAGAGCTTACTCCCGCGGGAGCAACCTGCTATTATTGTAGCTTCGCAGGTTGCTAATGGGGCGTGGAAGACGCCCTCCGTGCCATCAGAACCGCTTATCCTCAGAGGGCCGGCGAGGCCAACGGGCACTTTGACAGAGCCAATGCAGTTTTAGATTTTAGCATTCTTCATTGAATTTTCATCCTCAACAATGTATTTGAGCTTAGACGTGATTGCGTTCCGTGATGCCATGTTCGTAATCGATATGTAAAGATGATTATAATTTAGATAAATTTTTCAGCGAAAAGAAGACTGGGTAAAATAGGGAATTTAAATGTGTTTCCAAAATCGCATGAAAATTCCTTCGAATATCTGTCGCTTCCCATACCCCTCATGCGTTAGGATGATGAGACATCGTGTCGACTGTTCGACATGTAGATCTGTTAGCAGTATACACAGTCAGCAGTGTGTTGCACAACCTAGAGTGTGGTTACACAGCATGGTTGGAGCAATGATGTTTACTCTTTTGGTCTGTGTCTTAGTGACTGCCAATGCGAGGAGACGGAAATAAATCACCTATGAGAATCATGAGGAAACGCCGCGAAAGAGTTCCGGAGAGGATCTGGCGAGGAAGTCAGCGACTTACATTGGTTGTTAATGACGCTTAGAATCCTCAAATCGACCATGCTCATTTCGTCGATCACCAGAATTGTCTTGCGCGCCCATAGTATTCTGATGCGCTTGCTCATCGCTGCTTCATACGAAATAGCAGTACCCAGGGGATGGCATGGACTGTCATCTATAGTGTCTGAAGCGGTACCTGTAGTGTAGTACCTTTTGTATAAGCGCGCCATACAAAAGATACCTAAATTTAGGAAATTCCCGAAGGAAAAACTCCGTATTGTGCAACAGATCCCGAGAACGCGGGTGGGGCTGGTTACGAAGACGATTATTGTTCATCATACATGAATACCTAGTCGGTCATTGCACAGGATCGGCGGTTGCACAGGATCAGCGGCTGCATCACATTTTAGGAGGTGATATCACACCTCCCTTAGATTGTCAAGGCGAGCCTTCAGTTTACGCCAGTAGTACGGAGTATAGCTGCCAGTGTTGAATTGTGACAAGAATCCAGACTTTGACAATCCCATAATCGCCTATTTATATCCCTACCCCATTCAGCCCTTCTAAATGATGGCATGCACTACAATAGATCTATAAATTGGCTCTCGAGTAGTGGAACTCCGCGATCAACAGACGGTCAACACCATGACCACTCTCTTCTATATTCCGATCGCCTCGACCGGCGGCTCCATCGTGGGTGTGGACCCGACAGCCAACAAGCGCCACGAGCAACAGAATATATACGTGCTGATTATCACTTCGCCGAAAGATAACCGTTTGACCCCAACACTTATAGATGCGCTTCCTGCTGTCACTGGACATCATTGAGTACCGCTATCCTAAGGGCGTTGTAGTCACCACTAGCGGCATCACCCAAGTTCTACAGCAGTGGTTGGATCTGGAACTGGCAATGAAGACGGAGGCATTCCTCAAAAAGTGGATGTGGCCGTTATTCCGGCGGCTTTTGACGTACGTATCAATCCTGGTCGCTGTTGTTGGATAGCGAAAAACAAAAGCTAAGACTTTATGTCAGATACCCATGCCATCTGTATGCCTTTTAAATGGCCACGACTTTGGTGGATTCATACTGGCCATGTACCACGACTACTGGTCCAAAATCTAGAACGAGGATTCCTGTGCGTCAACGAACTGGAATTCGGCGTGCCGCTCCAAACACCTATTATGCCGATCTTCCGTGAGAAATTGAACTCAACCGCCTTCCGCAATGCGGTTTGGAAGCGCACCGTTTTGATGGGCAGGACTCGCTAGAGGCGGGAATTGTTGATGCGGTGGGTGGGCTGGATGAGGTCCTGGAATTGATTCGTGACCAGAAATTGTCAACTAAGGCTGCGACGGCATTTATGGTACCATGAAGGAGGAGATGTATGCACGAGTTTTGAATAGTCTTGATGATCATGTCAGAAAGCTAGCGTGGCGGGAGAAGGTGGAGGAGAAAAAGGATGCTGCGCGGAAGAGTAGCCTGCGAGCCGTAGCTGGGTGGGAGAAGAGGGACAAGGCAAAGCTTTGAAATGCTGATCCGGGCAGATCTGGGTTATTTGAGTTTTGATGTCTCGCTTTGGACATTTTGAAATGGGGAGGGACGCAGTTATGCGCGCACCCTCGGCGTATTCACAGCTCTGATCCTCGACCCCTTGATACATATACCCGGTTCAATTGTGCTCTCACGACATTTGACCGAAAGCGCGGAAACGGTCATGTTCAGCCTTGATACGGATATAAATTTTATATTAGGCATTTTGCTCGCCAGGTCACCAGGTCACCAGTTGGTGGTAATTACTAAGGGGTTACTAGTAATTTATAGTGGCGTATGTAAATATAATTCTTTGATCTACGTATAGTCCCCTAATCTATAGAGTCAGAACATAAAAATAACCACCACTATTTATAAATTCGAAGGAAAGGCGAAAGCCCAACTATCTCGCAGAAGTGCGAGGTTGCTTCCCTATGTATTTCCAACCGTCATCCCTTTTTATTTTCGCGTTCGTATACTGGAGGAAAGCAGGGGATGGATTAATCTGACGCCGTATCAAATGCTGCATCACACAAATTACGAATCGTCCTCACTGCATGAAGTTCAGCATGGCCAAGGGCCAAGCGCCCGCCAAGGACAACTGAGTGAACGTTGTACCTCGATGTACATAATGAGTTTCCCAAGTCATGAAATACATCCAATCATAAAGTTGATCGATCGTGTTAGTCTCGTCTATAATCCAACAAATCCAATAAGACTCCACGAAGGACGTTCTCCTCTGTTAAACGCGAGCCTGGGGCAAGATTCCAAATCAGATCACAGATACTCGATTAAGAAAGTCTCCTTTGTAGCACGTTATTTTCATAAAAGCCAATAGGCCCTCGTTCTACTCATTTGCCCCACGTAACGCTTTTTGCTATAATCCATACGGAATATAAGCGCCTACGATGTACGCTTCGCTGAAAGCTGAAACGCTTTGTCGGGGTTAATGCAGCTGGGGAAGTTTAGTGGCGGGAACGAAAGTAATAGTCGTTTTGTAAGACAGATACAATCTTGGATATTACTGTTATACTATCCACAGGAAGTCAAGAAATCGTCTACTGTTTTCATTTGCCCTATAATAGCGCCACACTATGGCTCCCACCAAAGCCGGTTAGTAGCAGCCTGTTCATCTGAAGAATGTTTATTAACCGACATATAGGAAAACAAAGACCCACGAGGTTTCTATCTCTAGGGCCTTTTTAGTTTTTGCTAAGAACCCTCAAAATGACCTGCGAAAAATACAACCCCGGGTCAAGCTATGCAGAACAAATACCACACATGCTAGCATCGACATGAGTTGGTACGATGAATGGCTCTTTCAGCAGCTTCAGAATCTACCTCACAGTCTTGCACAACTCCGAGTTGGGGCATACAAAATTCAAGACAAACAGAGCTTAAATACTTTTTTTGAGGGCATTGAGGATTACTGTGCGCGGGAAACCGAAGGGGTCTCTATCGATGAGATCACGGAGTACTTACGAAAAACAGGAACCTTTGATCACACCAAAGCGCTGCACGGCCATCAAACGCCTCTTATTTTCGCCGCTCTTGTTGGCGTTCTATGTTATATCAAGCCGCTTTCAATGTCTGCTCAATGCAGGTATTAGCTATCCATCAAGACTCCAACCAACCACAATCAGGCCTTGTCTTTGATATGTATAAAATATCGGCTGAGCTTTCAGACCGCCCAATGTCTGTTCTACTCAAGCTTTTGGGCACTTTTTACCCGCACGATCCTCGAATGCTCACTATCTTGCAAGTGAGACTGGTAGCATAGTATCTGTCTGGCAGCCCTTGCATCCCGAAGAGACCAACCCCGTACCTACTTCATGTCTTGCTTCGTGTTCAAATACGATGGGTCGATGCTCTAGTGCTGTACATTGACTATGACAGAAGCACTAAGACTTTATCGCTCTTCAAATATCCGTCAATTTGTCTTGAAATGCTTCGATCACGGGTTGATCTACTCCTTCTCCAGCATTGAAAGCTTCCCAGAGGATCCTCATGCCAACGAAGAGGAACTTACGCAATTTCTGCAAGAGGTGCTTTTATCCTATCGCCTTCTTTTTGCCCAGTCGGCCCCATCGAAGAAACTTTTTCGCCAAATCTATTGGATGTCGAATTTTCAGAGCCACCCGACCGATTCCCTGCTTTTCCAGTTGTGCACCCAGAAGCGGATTGGACAGAACTTGACAATGCTTCCAGCTGACAAGCCACTCTATTTCGCTGCCCGAGACTTTCCTGTGCTGTATGACCGGATCGAGCTCATGGCAAATGATATCAAGGACGAGGCCAAGCTCAATCCTCAATCTAATGAGAGACAGACGTGATACTTTGAAGTACTGGACATTTTGGCTCGTGGCTATTGCCGGTGGCATTAGCATTTTTTTGACCTTGGTCCAAGTCATTCTACAGGGAGTGTCAATGCTCTAGGCTTTATATAGGGCCAATAATCAAGCATTAAGCTATTTCTGTTGAACTAGAGTCAATGCATACTTCGTAGGTCGTTACACGGCCATTACATCGGTCAGGACTGGTTTTGTGTTCAAGAAGGTCTCTCTCCCCTCCGTCCACGTCAGTCAGTCAACCATTTCCTTTGGTATCTTCTAGAGAACGAGACTGCCAACGGAAAGTACTTCGGTCATGTGATCCATATTGTTATCCTACCCCGCTCCTACCAATGTCCTTACTTTGACCTTCTTCCAAAATTATATTGTAAGAAGAAGTATCCAGAATGGCGATTACCCATATTGTTCTCTTCCAGTTCAAGTCAGAAGTGGCCCCTGAGGTTGTCCACGATGTACGTTTCACCAGATCATGACGCAGGTGACGTCCACTGTGAACGATAGACACTTCATAATGGATGTTAACAGTAATTTCAAAAGGCCTGTGAACGTATGCTTGCTCTCAAGGACAGTTGCATTCACCCCACCTCACAACAACCCTATATCAAATCGGCGTCTGGCGGGAAGGATAACTCTCCCGAAGGCTTGCAGGTAAGTTCGCCTGGGATCCCAGAGGACGAAGGATATTTCACTAATGCATCATAGAATGGAATTACACATGCATTTGTCTTAGAGTTTACATGTGCCGCAGATCGAGACTATTATATCCAAAGCGATCCGTCTCATCTGGCCTTCGTTAGAACTCTTGATGGGCTCATTGAGAAAGCACAAGTCATTGACTTCACCAATAGAGTTTTCTGAAGTTCTCAGTCGCTGCTTCAAGTGTACATATGTCCACTACTTTAATGGCAAATAGAGTCGTGACTTTTGTAGATACTGTCAAAGGATAGACTGCATGTTGTTCGTTCCCAATATTTATATACCACCAATTCTTTCATGAAGCCTAAGGAATTTGCTAGTACAGAGTATATATATCAATATTAAAGCTTTCTAGCTTGACCATTTGTCTTGCACCAATCCAAAGCTTTGTGTCTGCGCAGTTTTCCATTTTAGGAGTATAGACCATCGACTGACTGACCTCTCACCCTCCCATACATAGCACAGATAAATCTGGAGCGTGTATGGGCCAGTCCGAAGAGTGCCACGTCCGTTGTGTACAACCATACAACAAGAATGGATCCCCAGCGCGCGGAAATATACTCCCGGCAAAGTAGCAATGAGTTTAATATCCAGGAATGTAAGCCAAGCTTCGGGTTCGGGGAATCACTCTTATCGGAATTAGCGGACCAATAGTACATTGTATCCAGGTAGGTGTCGGGTCCTTGAGCTGGAACTCCAGATCTAGAAGGTCCTTGCATTGCGAGGACTACAATGCATACCGACCCGAGCTTGGTACTCATGAATTTAACGTTTACCAGAATAGTACACGTTGGATACCAGAATACTGTTGGATTCAACTGAGGGTTAAATTGAGTTCTCGTAAATATACGGAGTATCAATAAGCGTATTTTTAAGCTACTCAAGGTTTCACTCTGGCTTAACTCAAGGTCCGAGAATTCCCTATCCCTGCGGTTCCATTCAAGTTAGGGCTCGGCTCTGTTTGCCCAGATGAAACAACCAACGATTATACCCGACATAGAGAGATTATAGTTTAAAAAAAAATAGCTTGAATTAGTTCTGCTTATATATTCCATCTTGAAGTTGATAATATTAGAATGCGTGCAGAGTACTGCTTAATCTGGAGCGTAGCTAGACTAACCCTTATGAGCTGTTCTTTGAGTCGGCATTGCTCCGATGCAAGGGAGACCCGAAACAATAAAAACACGCCAACCATTCCCGAGCCTCGCAGCCAGCCGCAAGGCTTTTTTGTTCCGATCGAATTGATGGCATTCTGGAACCTTTAGGCGCTGAGTTACTATTATAGCGAAACAAAGGAAATACGTGACAAAGGAACGACAAGAGGAACCTGTGTTGTTTCCGTAGTTCCAACGTGGCCGGAGCATTACTTCGTGAATGCGGTGACGTTCCACTTGTGCTAATACAGGAAAAGCCTTAAAGTTGCCTTATTGTCTCTGAGCGTGTGTATACACTTGAACCCAAAGATCAAATACACTGGGGTCGGAGCCATTACTCCGGATACGAGCACATTCTCACCCTGAACAATGAGGCAATCCATAGGATCATCCATGGATCCCTGTCAGTGACAAATTCGTGATCGATCGACACGGCTGCAGAACTAGTGATCGACGATGCATCCTTGGAAGAGGTGTCTAAAATTGCTTGCCGAGAACCGGCTTTCATGAACACCTCGTTGCCGAGACAAAGACAAAGGAAACGAGGCAAAGAGATATTCAGATTGAGTGAGCTTCTATGAAAAAGAAGAAAAATCTATTCTCTCCAGAGCGAAGGACAAGGAATCCCATTTCCCCGAGCTTCTAAGACCCTCACAGGGTTCATTCATGCACATATCCGACCCGACAAACGGGGACTTATGGGATCGGCGGCTGGTTATTATTGAAATATCGAATAAAGAACGGGATATACAAAACTTTAGAAAGAGACACGAGTGTCTAACCCAAAAGTGGAAAAGGGGACACAAAGAATGAGAGGGATATGTTTCGCTAGCACACGATGGTTCTCTTTGCTTATTCTCCCTTTTACCCCTTTGGTCTAGGCTGCTTTCCACTTGATCCACTCTCAAATACCTAATCTGCATGGGTCTCTAACGGCATATTCTTCCCTGCAGCCTGTAGGTCATGGTTTCCGCCTGTAATGCCCACTGTACTGCATCCGATGGTTGCAGCAGATCGTGGGTATATTATTGTCTGCATACAGATAGATACCCGTAGAAACGATCGTCTCGGATGGTAAACACTCAAATTCCCAATAAGAGCCGGAATAGATCAAAGAGACTCCAAGCATTCGGGACTCTCCAAAGCCCAATCCCATTCAATCCAGGCCCCAGGGAGGACCCACTGCTGCCGCCAGGGGTGCGAACTGCCAGATTGGTGCCGAGCCTGTCATCCTGTCCATGCCAAAGGCACGGCTGTCGCCTAGTCCAACCTGGGGCGAGACCGTGGATCGGTTTGTCCTTGACACGCCGGGAATAGCATAGATGTGCATAACTCCGTACATACTAATATACGTACTCTCGCCCGTCTTTTGACACTCTCTCATTCTCTAAGCACAGCTCAATGTTGTAGAGCAGTTGGGACCTTTTCCCTCTTTTGTTCCTTTTCTTTTCTTCGGGTGTTGTTATCCCCAGTCTCTCGTTTCGCCTTGTCACTCGTTGTATAGTATTTGTTTCACCAAGTGTTGCCTTTATTCCTTTCATTTCCCTGTTCACATTCAAGGATATCCTAGCTGGAATCGCCATTGTTCCAAGCACCCACAAACTGCCTAGCTCTTCATAAGAGCTCCTTGTCCACTGATCGGATCAATCGAAACACCACCAATCCAACATGGAATGCTTTCGGCAAATTTTCCGGTGCCTGAAGGCACCTTTCAGACGCGAAAAGGGAAGGATTATTGAAATTGTAAGTCGAGTAAAAACCGGGAAACGGGCTATCGTTGAAAAGGCAGTGGCTAACAAGTCCATGAAACAGGGTCCTCCCACTAACTTCCGAAAAGAAGAATTGCCTGCTTATTTCTCCGATGCCGAGTCAGTTCTCTCGCCCAGCCAAAATCCGACAGAACGATCAGATCTGACCAATCAATTACAGGACGCTTACGTCCCAGGACAGCTGCACAGCGACCGTAGAGAAGGACGAAACGACGATCGAAATGGTATCTCTACCATCGTCGACGAAGAGCAAGATGCGGGCCCAGGCTCGAAGGATGAGCGTAAGACTGTCATCCACCTCCGAGAGCGCATAAAGTTATCTCGGTGGTGGAAATCCAGCCCAGCTGCAGGTCATGAAACCAACGCCCCGGCCGAATCGACCAAAATGGAGGAAACGCGAAACGCCGAATTGGCGTGTTCATAGGGAACATGTGGATTGGTACATGGGATGGTCAAACCAAGAAGGTGGGCACTTCATTGTGCCGGGAATTTTTTGCATCTAAATTGTCCCCTCCGCCAGTTATAGGAGATTGTCTTGCAGGAGTTTCCCTGGACTTGTCAGAGATAGAGTGGTCTATCCGAGATGACTCTGGTAGTTCATCGAGGTCATCAAAAAGTGATTGAACCCGTGATTTATACGCGTTCGCTGGACTGGGTCGCTCATGTGCCGGCTTCGCTTTTGGTTTTAACGTAGACGTGCTTTGTATTTTAGATGCTTGCTGGGCTCGTGGTGTTGTCTGATCGTGAGCCTGACTTTTTCGTAAAGTGGTATTTGTTCTTCTTGGCGGCGGTAGCACGACCGGCTGGGTTTCTAGGTCAAGGTCGTCGTCGTCATCCGAGCCCGAGGCCGTCTCTTCATCCAGTTCAATGCTTGGAACTTCTGGTGCTCTTGATGCTGCAGTGACACTCCCAATACTGTTCACCCGGGCTCGTCCACTACCTAAAGTAGGTGCCCGTCCAAAGCCCGCAGCAGCTCTAGTAGAGGACTTAGGCGCGTGAGCTCCCACCAAGGATCGTACTTGTCGTGGGCTCGTCATGAGACAGTGAAGATGTGTTCCTGCCAATCTCTCATCGTCGTCGTCTTCATCTTTGCCGTCGACTCCTCCGTCCCCTATCTGCGCTAGTCCGGCTTTTTGCCGTTCCCTGAGCGCTTCGGCTGCTCTTTTCCGCTCGACTTCATTTGGCAATGGTGTACGGCCGTCTGTAGGCCTCTCAATGTCTCCTATTCCGGCTGCATTTTCGGCTTTCACTTGCTTTCGCCGTCGCAGGTACTCCGCATGATGTAGATGTTGAGTAAATGTTTGCGCGACGGCGTAGAACTCGTCTTCGACCATGATCCAGCCATCATCGTACTGAATTCCTTCAATCAAAAACCTATAATGTGCCTATCAGCGACCTTTCCTAGTTGCGCGGGGCCTGGTTGCGATCGTACTCTTCGGAGGGGCAACGTCTGATGGGAGATGTCGGTGGGCTTTGGGCTGTACAAAGTAATCAGACTTTATGTTTGGTCACAATATTCCAAGAACAAAACCTACAGGATCTGAAGAAATCGCGCCTGGGGGGAGAAGGTCGAGGGTGTTTGGGAGTGAGGTCGTGATCAGGACTGGGTTCCGTCTTCACGCGCTTTCGTGGTGTTGGCTCTTTTTTCACAGGGATGCTATTCTCGGCGCGAAGCCAGGGCAATGTCCTGGGCATGATTCAACATTGAAGATAATTATAGAGGAAAATCAAGACGTCGCTTTGTGTCGCGATCTCAAGGAAAGATCGCAGTGAGGGAAAGAGAGTTGCTGATAGGCATCCATGGCCGATAAGGTGAGGCCACCCGCATTCCGCAAACCTTCCATTTGGAGCTTCACATGACATGTACGGGTTGAAAAATTTGCAAATATGAAGCTCAATTTTTTGGGTATCTAATGCCATTTTGGACATTGGTAATGCAAGATGAAAAGAACTGGCACGACTTCGAACGCCTCGTGCAGGATATATCACCGAACTCAAGAACGACTGCCGGTAGAACGCCTATTCGACCATTTGAGGGAAACCAAAAAAAGAAAAGAAAAACGCCTGTATTACTGTCCATGCAAGGGTCCAGTTACACCTCACCAGGCCGCTTGCTGTTGCAGCTCACGATCTTCACCTTGTCCGCGGACACAGTCGTCTGGTTGTCCAGCTTGAACGTGACATCCTTGATCAGGAAGGTCCAGACTTCGTCGCAGAATCGGTAGGTGTCTAGGTGGCCCTAAAAGCGGCGGGAAAATGTACATGTCAGCCTCGTTGAACTATGATCAAACCATGCCCACCTGGGCAAGGGTGTTCTCTGAACCGGAATGAGTTACCTTGAAGGTCAGTCTGGCCCGGACTTTGTCCGCCAAGACTTCAGTCACAATCTTGTCAAAGGTCCCGAGGATCTTCATCGCCAGCTGCGGCTCAATACGGCCTTCATTGATCAGGTCGTCGAGGGTATCGGTGAGGGATAACCCGAGGCTGGATGTTCCCTGAGTCAGCTTTGGAGCTTTCCACTTGCTTCGTCGGGTACATTACCTGCTGCCACGGTAAAGCTCGTAGTAAGCAACTGATGCCATTCTGAGATCAAATAATGGCAGACTCGTCGAAAGAGTATCGGAGGAGTGAGTGACAAGAGCAAGTTCACGATCGCCGGCCGAATCGCGGGGGTCGGTCGTCGGCACATGATTTTCTTATAATCACGTGGCACTTTCTTATCTGGAATTGCGTCAGTGCCAGATGAATTGAATACGTTTGAACGATTCTTTACCTCAAACTTCCCAGTAAACATAAACAACCTCGAGAATTACTGCAACATGATTGTGAGGTGGCTAGGGGCTCGATACCTTCTACATAGAGCATTGCCTAGTCAATTGCATGTTACGAGTGTACGACCCTTATCAACAAGCTTGTTCAGACCATCAGAAGCTCAAGGTCAGTCAGTCCCGTTCAAATACCCATCTCAGAGCTAACATGCATTGCTTTCAAACCTCAGACTCCCAAGGTTACCAAAATTCTAAGTCCAAGCAAGCGCAAATCAATCAGACATCAGAGATTGACTCGACCGAAGAAAACAAGCGCCACACGCTCCCACCCAAGGCTAAAACCGTATCCCAAGCGGACGACGACCTTCGCGAACGGCTGGAACAAATGTCTGGGGAAGGCGGAGCCTTTGGAATTGAATACGAAGACGGCAGACCGAATGCAATGAAGCGCGGCGTGCGGAACAACATGTTCCGATTAATCTGAAGCAATCTTCGACATCAACATATCACAAGAACGGACCTTGGTCATCTCAAACGTCACGGATATGTATCCAAGTGAGGTCTCATTTCCTGAAATCCAGGCTTGGCCCCATATGCCAAAACACGTGGGAAAGGAATGTTCTCGGTCACCGGCCCCGGGAGTTACAGACCTCCATCGGGACCAGATTTCTCGAACTTCGTTTCCGACAACATGGATGAGGATGTCCGGGCCTGGCTTCGGTTGGTTTTGCCTAATTAGTTTTCCAAATATGTGTGGTGACCTTTCTTTGATAAAGATAAACGGTCATGCATAGTCGAAGGCATTCCTCTCTTCGGGTGTTCCTGCATTCTCCGATTACGATTCCTTGGGCATAGCCGCGCAATCAGTCACGGTTCTCTCGCTGCGAGCTTTTGACTTTCGATGGGTGGAGTATTCTTGGGTATATGCCATTGGAAAGCTTTCCTTTCATGATTGGGGATGGCTCCATTGCAATGTGTAGGGTTGGAATGAGTGCGGTGCCTGCATGTCCTGTCGATGCTTGGGGTAGTGCCTCATAGGCTAGACTTTAATGCCGTGCTTGAATCGGCGGTAAAGTCTCGCTCAGAGAGTTGGGTTTTGACAGTAAAAATGAGAGACCATAAACATAGCGAGCCATATTATGGGGCCGAGAAGTGGACTGGTCCAAATACAATGGAAGTGTATATCAACGAAATTACCACCATCCAAAATAGGATCACAGTGGCAGAAATAAAATCTCATTTCTATGCCGTGAGCCCCAACTAGAATTGACATTATCCCATTAGCTCCTAATTTTCGCATTGCTGAATTCCACCCAAAGCAGAAAAGACCAAAGACAAACCCAATGCTTGTTACCGTTTCAAAGAAAAGCTCATTTTCGCACAACCATGCCAGCCAAAACACCAGCGCCAATGACACCACCGTCGGAGGCTTCCCGTAAGAAAACCGACTTCCCACCTCGTTGCGGACCAGTCCGCATGATAAGACGGTCAATGTATTGCTGGCACATCTCCTTGAATTGCGGGTAGTGTTGGATAATACCTCCAGTGTAAGCCACCACGAGCTCTTCAGGACCCGACTGCCAATCTATCGGTGTAGGATCGAGGACAGGGACGACATGTTCCTGGGCCGCGTGGCTCGCAGCGACAGCAGCAGTGTTGAGGCTTGCAGCCGCAACTTCCGGTGCACCGGCCACCTCGGTGATGGCATCGCCGTTGCTCTGAGGTGAAGCGGGATTCTCGGGTGAGCTGCTGTTGCTGTCTTCCTTTAACTCGATCTCGCGAGCACAGGCTAGGAGTCCGACAACCGCAGCGGCTATCAGCCCAGCTGATCGTCTCTGTACTGCACGAGCGATCTTTCGGAACGCGCCCGCGGCTCGGGCATCCCAGCGCCAGTCACTGCTCTCTGGTGGAGGGAGGGATTTGTTCAAGGCTTGTGCGAGTTCGTTGTCAGATCGGGCTTTGGCGACAAGATCGGAGATGTATGTAGTTGTCAGGGCGTATTCTTGGACGAGGTTTGCAGGTAGGGAACGTTTCGATAATTCGGCGATTGTGGTGAGATAGTCGAATAGGATCAAGCGAATCAATTCACCAATGTAGCGGCCTCCAGTCATGTATTCGAAGGGCTGGAAGCCTGGACGTGCACAGGCCCGGTCCAGCTCCACGTCCCATTTTGTGGTCACATTGAGCTCCTTGAGTGGTGGCGCAGCACCAGAAATAGTCCACTCGGTGTTGACAATAGTCTCCACAGCGTCGGGTTCCATCATGTTCACGCTCTTGGCCTTAGATTCGTGCAATGCACTGAGCTTCATTGGTATGGTTGCGTTACAGCCAGTGCCCACAATGATACCCATGGCCACTCTGCTATTTGGTAGAGATTTGACCTTGTATGCAAGGGAAGCTAGCGTGGCCACCGTATCGTTGGTGATGGCTTGGATTTTCAGTTTTGGTAATGCGAAAAGCTTTCGACGTTTGCTTGAAGGTTCGTCCTCATCATCGGGTCGCCTTGTGTGCTTTTCATATCCATTCAGAAGGATGTTGCCAAGATTGAGATTTGATGAGATAGCGAAGCCTTTCCCCATGGGCATTAATGTGGCTTCTGCCAATGATTCTTGCCTGGGATTAATTAGTACAAAATTCACCAAACGGGAACCCGACAACCCGAGGATACCAGCAACAAAAGCAAAGAGGAGAAAAAAACTCACATGATAGGGAAACTGAATGTGATTCCCATATCTAATTCGGCAGGGATATCCTTCTTAGTGGCATCCGATGACAGACTCTCCGCTACCACCTCCGCAATGCAATCACCGATCCAAGAAAAGAGATCCTCAGCCTTATCCATCTTCAAATGCTCTTGAATAGGCCAAGCTCGTTCCAGCGTCCGCTTCACCCGCTGGCGCTGAGCTTTCCGGATGGTGTCCCGTGACCTCTCCGTGGCATCTGTAGGTCGAACATCGGAATCCACGGCTTCTCCTAGTAACTCGATAAAAGCGACTCGAAGGTTGCTACCTCCTACATCAATGGCTAGATAGCGACCGGTTTCCCGACCAGTGGGAAGCTGAGTCACTGGAGTTGGCAAAAACTGCTGGTCCGATGTCAGGGCAAGGTTGCGGTATGTGGTGGAAAAGCGCCGGGCCAGTTTGTACAGCACAGCCTCATCCAGGGATATTGGTGATAAGAATTCTTCCAATTGTTGATGGTGCGCCAGATATTCTTGTTGAATGGCGTTTAGTTCCGAACTGTCATCCTCATGTTCCTCATCTTCAATCAAATCGTCGTGCATGATTTCGCGCTCGTCCTCATCCTTCTTGGATGATTCTGAGTTGACCGAGGTCATGATGGAATATGGAAGATATATATTCCAAAAAATAAAGAAAAAGACCCCTATGCCAGGCTAAAAATACCAGATAAATGAGCTGACACAGCTATGCCAATAGTGACGTGTAGGGTCTGGAATGTTTAGGAATCGAGACAGGGCAGCATATCCTTAAAATCCTTGAATTGTGGAGACAAGCTACCGAGGGAGCTAATCCAATGCCCCGAGAGCTAGTCTTGTTGTGTTAGCGAGGTTGCAATAAAGGGAAGGGAACATTTCGGTGACGCGGTCTGCAGGTCGTTCGGGCTGCGGGGGAAAAAGAGAAAACACGACGATCATGCCAGAAGGGGGAATCCCCATCTATATCTTATCCCGTACATACCCTGGAATTTTGGTATGCACCGATTGCGCTGATCGAGAAAATAATATTTCTGAGCGATTCGGGGGGATAGGACAACTATATATGGGGGGGATTGGGTATCTTTGGGCTCAAGAAATATCCCTAGATGGCCCTGAGGGAGTTGATGAAGAATGGAAGTACAAAGCTCCCTGCTTTAAGACAGGAGGAAAAGCAGAAGAGTAAACATAAGAAGACGAACGAACATATGGAATTTGTTCATAGGTACCTTTATATCTTCAAACTAAGTATTGCAGTGGTCGGAAGAACAGTCGGAGAAGAATCGGAGAAGAGTCGGAAGTCAGAAATGGAGGGAAATGATTTCTATTAGATGTGATGATCAGATAGAAGTTCAGAGATTACTTAGGTAGACAAATGATAATGGAAGTTATAAGAAATAATATATATAAACGATGAGATGCGACCATCGGAAGGCACGAGGCGATGCGACGCTGTTCGGGACAAGTTGAGTATCCCGGCACTTGACTTCTATTGGATTGAGAAAACTCTACTTGGATTCTCCCCTCGTTGACATCTTCCTAAAATCGACTTGCAAAGTCTATGTAACCCTACTTCAAGTCATTATATCCGGCTAAACCTCCTTCCCTACCCTTAAGGAGAGATTATCCCGGAGAAGCCAAGCCCATTCATTCTTGGCAGTCTCAGAACTAGACGAGCTTAGACGGTTGAAAGCATGAGTTCCAAGCTGTTGGATACTAATATACATCTCTACGAGGAACATGGGAGGATTCAGGAGAAATGCACCAAAAGTATCGCCAAAGTATCCTGTTTCAACGTCGTTATTCGTTCAATACGAGGCTCGCCTAAGTGGGATATACTACTGGTGGCATTCGTGGTGATCAGGCTGGGCGTACCCATATTCAGATGCAGGCGCATCTCGCGAGCTTTTGATCAAAGGGAATGAATCTCTTCGCATGGTCTCGATTGTTCACCTTCACCCGCCACATCAGGCTGTCAGGTCTTATTAGAGTCAGTCCAAACCACCTCACCTTGGGGTTGCCTGCCCATAATGAGTGGTCTGCGTATCGGCAAATAGCCTTATGGTTCTCGTGTTTAGCATGATTCTATCGTATGTTGTAGAATTGATCAACGAAGGTTTCATGTACGAGCCTCAAATCACGCAATCCCAAGCCATTACGCACGGTCTGTCCGTCCACCATACCCGACAAAGCCCAGCGATTCTAGACTTGGGGCTATTTCAAATCTAAGCTACGATGTTGTCCAAATCGCCTCCGAAGTCGGAGCCCAGCCTAATCAGATGAATTGTCCACGGGTGTGCACGGATATGGAGTACGGGTGGCCTTGGTGATTACAGACACACATTTAAGCGTTTAGGAGACAAGATCGTACTCCGGGGAAGATCTTATGTAATGGTCTTGGCAGCCCTTCAGGGCGAGCTCCGCCCGGACTCTCCACATGATCTTATCGAAACAACCTCACTTCTGGTTTCACTCCATCATGGAGAAACTACCGATCCACTCTAAGGAAGGAGATGGGAATACTCTTGAACAGGCAAACAACTCTGATCGCCGTGGCCGTCCTACCACAGCCACCTATTTGTGTCGAATCGGTGTTATTGCGTTGCTCTTTATCGGCTACCTTTTGCTTCTAACGCCGTCTTCCCCGCGATGTACTGGTATAGCTCCACAGACAGAGAGCTATCAAGCTGAGGTTCAAGAAGAGTATGACAACTACTTGCAGCTGGGACGCTTTGCTTCTGATGCACATCAAACACTTGAGCAGACTAAGATACCGCTAGAGGCTCACATTATGAGCAAATGCCCAGATGCCCAGGCTTGCTTGCAAAAACTGGTTCTACCAGCCATGGAAAAGATCAGTGATAAGGTGGACTTCAAGCTATCATTTATTGCTAGGTGAGCATTGAATCAGATGCGGAACAGGACTGGTACTATTCTGTACCAGCCTCCATCCTAAACATTTGACTAATACTATCAATAGTGTCTCTAAAGATTCTGAAGAGATAGAGTGCAAGCATGGCCCAGGTGAATGCATCGGTGATATGCTCATGCTCTGTGCGGCCAACCTTCCTTTCCCTCCCACTGCGGACGAAGCATCTCTTCCATCTCAGTACCCCAAGACCCCTATTATCCGGTCGCTAGGATTCGCGAATTGTCTAATCAATGACTATGCCCGGATTCCAGACCGCGAATTCGTACATCACTGTGCAATGGAGCACGGGATTGACTTTGACGCCTTAAACAAATGTGCGAGCCAGCAGAATGATGACCCCAACGACGGCAACGACGGCGAACCACCACTCAGTGGAATTGCGCTGCTGCGTGAAAGCGCCACGAAAAGCGAACAACTCGGCGTTAAGATTAGTTGCACGGTGCGTCTCGATGATGCTGTTTGGTGCATTCGCGATAGCGACGAATGGAAAAACTGCGCCCAGAATGGAGAAGGCAGTAAGCCCTCAGCCCTGGTCGATCAAGTCGAAAAGCTCTGGAAGGAGAGGAACTGAGTTCTGGATGGATACTTTATCGTTCATACCCTGCATTCATACCCATACGATAGGACCTGAGACTCGATAAATGTCACTGATGATCCCTACACATTATCATATTGTACCCACGCCATAGACATTCCCTACGTTTTAAGTTTAGTGCTTAATCTATGTCCTCCCAGATGAACCCCTTATCTGATAACTCCTGACTCCACGTCATGCGTTGAAGACGATGCGCCCCTCGCTATAGTTAGCAAACGATCCCTATTGGCCGAGTCACTCACAGGCTGGCCATCTATCTGTTTCCTTGCCCTTGTTGTATTTGATCAGATCTGAGAACTTCTTCCTTCTTCTTCTTCTCTCTTCCCTCCAGCCATTTTGTCAACACTGCGCCCGGCTATCGTCATTCAACTGCCGTAATGCCGCCTTTTTCTCATCCAAAACAGCGCGGTAGGTTGCTTCCATCCTTGAGCCTACCCATATCCACTCAAATATCATTGTCTTATTATGCTCACAATGTGGAATGGTTCTATAGATACCAAGCGTGTAATGTCGCGTGGACTGCGTGGTAAGGAGGACAGCTTGTACCTCAAGTGGAGTGTGGTGATGAATCCAAGCGAGCTCCTCAAAGAGCTTGTTGGCAACCGTGAGCATGCTCGAGCACTCTTCCATGGACTGAGGCGCCAGGTCAAGTCTATTCGCCACCGCTCGCAGTCCTACGATGATGGCCAGGTCACGATCTATGACCGTGTTCTCCTTCGTCTCTATGATGAGGGACACACGATGCAACACTACGGTCTGCTTGAATTTTACCTGGCCGAGTATCTGGGGACTAAGAACTGTCACTTGGAGGAGAACAACTCTGTCATTGCTGCCCACTTTGCTGCCCAGCGCATCCTGGACAATGGTCTGTCGCTGCGTCTTGATGAAATTTACTTTTATTAACATAACCTACCAGGCCCCATTTCTGAGATTCCGATCGTTGCAACCGATAACATGGAAGGCTCCACCGAAGACGCCGAGACTAGCAAGTCGCCACAGACCAAGTCACACCATGTCGACAAGCTCATCCAGGTGTACCAGAAGGCCAAGGCCGACTACTACATCCTTGAACTCACGGAGAGCCACCGTCAGCGAACCAACAGCGTCCGATTCCTCCGTGACACGGCTGAGAACCTTCTGCGATACCTGAAGTCAGTCGACAAAGACCACGATCTGATTCCCGAAATCGAGGACATCATTCAGGTCAGCCAGACACATGCAAACCAACTTGCCGGTGGCCGTAAGCGCAAGTTTGAGCATATGGACAGCGACTCAAGGGGCAGCCCAAGCCTCAGCCCCTACCGACCCCACGGATACTACAGAGACCAGCGTGGAGGATACAACCGTCGAGACCGATATGTCCCTGACACCATCACATGGGACCACAGCCACAAGGGTGGATGGGACCATAGCCATGTCAACAGAAGAACTGGATGGGATAGTCGGCACTTGGACTCCTACCGTCCTTAAGCTCACTGTCGGATCTGAGCTCTCGGTCGAAGGACACGTTCTGAATTTATGAGGGTAGCCTTTTCTTCGCTACTGCTCAGGAAAAGTACAAACCTGGATGTACTTTAAGAATCAGCTTCAAATCGAAACATCAACTCAAATTCACAAGCAAGCATCCTCGTACTTGTAGAGCAGTCGACAGTTATTGAAGTATAAATCCCAGCCCATCGCCAAAAGAACTAAGCTCAGCGCTAAGCCACTCTCATCTTAGCGCCAATTAGTTACAAACCCACGTGCGCATATGACATAATCCGCCCCAGAAGGCCTGGAGATCCACGCCCAGGTGATCAACATCGGTCACCCGATCCCGCGAATTGAGGGGATCTTGTCGTTTTCTTTCATCTCAGAGGAGAGATAAGTTCCGCCCTAATGGAGAGACTACCTCATCGATCAGGCTCCTAGAACCATCCGAAAACGTGTATCTCCTGAGAAATGGCAGACCTTCATCCCTCCGCCATGGGCAATAATGCGCCTTCCACTAGCTCCAGCACATCCTCAAACCCACGATTCACTCCCATTTCGTATGGCTCAGACGAAGACAATCCAGTGCCAGGACCCGCAAAATCACCCATAGGCCCATTGCGACTGCAGACCAACTTTCATGACCATCAAGACGTCGCCGGCCCTCTATCCGATTTCGAGAACGACGGCATCTATAACACCAGCGAGGAGCTTGAGGGTAAGATGCCGTGCGGTGGTCTAGGCCCCAGATACACACCAGAGGAGGAGAGCGAGGTAGTAAGGAGATTTGACCGGAGGCTCGTCCCGTTCCTGGCCTTCCTCTACTTACTCTCCTTCTTGGATCGCTCGAGTATGTTTGATTATTTCGCACAGCGGAATGTTCCCCCTGTGATTGCAAGCATGTACTGACCGTTTAACCAGACATTGGAAATGCAAAGATAGCAGGACTCAAAGACGATCTACAACTTTCATCTTCACAATATGAATGGCTACTTACTGCTTTTTACATTACTTACATTCTCTTCGAATGGATGACGCTGATGTACCGTGTTGTTCCCCCACATATCTATATATCTCTGTGTGTATGTGGATGGGGACTCGTCGCATCATTCCAGTGTCTAGCTACTTCTTTTTGGGGCCTGGTCATTCTCCGGGCATTGCTTGGAATCACCGAGGCGGCTTTTGGCCCAGGTGTCCCGTTTTACCTGTCTTTGTTCTATCGCAGACATGAGCTGGCTTTCCGTAACGGATTGTTTATCTCAGCGGCGCCACTCGCGACATCTTTCGCTAGCAGTCTGGCCTACTTGATTGTCAGGTTCAGCAGTGACGGCCCGATCTCACCGTGGCGAACTCTTTTCCTAGTGGAAGGGTTTCCAAGTGTAATTGTTTCGATATTTTCTTGGTTCCTCATTCCGGACTCCCCTGGTCGGGCTCGATTCCTGAGTCGCCGACAAAGGGTGGTAGCCCAACAGCGTCTCGAGGACAGAAAAGCCGACTACCAGCAATCATATGGAAGTCGATTTAACTGGCGAGAAATCCTGAAGACTGCAGCGGATCCCAAGGCTTATATGGCTGCCGTGAGTGTTAGCTCCACTGAGAATTGTGCAAATGTTCGGCTCTAACACGTTTACTAATACAGTTCATGTTCTTCAGTTGCAACGTTGCTTTCAGCTCAATGCCTGTCTTTTTGCCCACTATCATTAAAGAGTACGCCCCGCACCAGCATCCATTTATAATCTCGACAGCCAACTTACATTTATTGCAGCATGGGATATTCCTCCTTACAAGCCCAAGCCCTCTCAGCACCTCCCTATCTTGTCGCTTTCGTTGTAGTCCTCCTCACCGCATACGCGTCAGACCGCAGCCGCTCCCGAAGCCCATATTTGATAGCCCACGCCCTGATCTCATCACTCGCTTACTTAGCGATCGCGACAACAGGTCATTTCCACTCACGCTTGCCACCATGGCTTCACACATTCATCCGCTACATCTGCGTCTACCCCGCCACGGCTGGGTTCTTTTCCGCCATCACCCTCATCATCACATGGTCAATGGATAACCGTGTCGAAAAGGAAGGTAAGGGCGCGAGCATTGCCATTCTCAATATCATCGGACAGTGTGGGCCCCTGCTCGGGACGAGACTGTATCCCGAGACTGACGGACCGTGGTATATTCGAGGCATGGCTACTTGCTCGTTTTTCATGGTTATTGTTGCGGTCTTAGCTGTGGGGCTGCGGATTCTTCTGCAGAGGATGAATCGGGCGGCTGCAGAAACGACCTACACTATTCAAGAGGCTGGTCCTGTTGATCAGGGTGAAGAGCGGGATGTGCTTATGGGTGGTGGTAGGAGGGATGATTTGGAGCATTCTACTGGGGATAGAAGGCTTCTATATATTATATAGTTGATACAATAATGATTGCTTGAGGTTCTTCCAAGGGCCGGAAAACAGAGGTAAAGACAATGTCGTTCTTCTCTTGCTCGGTCAAGTAAGAGGCTTCGCCGGGCTGTTAGCGTGCGGGAGTCAGCTCGAAAATCTACCAGAGCCCAGACAGCAACGAAGGCAGCATCTGTGCTGGAAGGAAGGATGGTGCAGAATAGTAAAACCACCGAACGAATGGTGATGGTCTAGATCAGGACCAAAGGACTCCCAGACTCCATCTTTTGCTACTCTGCCGCATTATTGCCCTATAATCCGTCTTTAATGCGGTAGACGAGGCTGACAAGCACAGATAGAATCCCTCTAGGGGACGAGGGGAGGTGGAAGAGTAAAAGATAAATTACAAAGAGCTAAAAGTAAGAAACGTGGTAAGGCACGCATTGCATAGTCGCGCATGGTCTGTATATGGTGTATATGTAAAGTCTATATGATATGTACATGTGTATACCGAACGGTGTATTGTTCACATTTCGTGGAATCAAAGAAGCGCAGCGAAGGACGAATCGGCGACCTGCGAGTCCTTCCAGCCAACACACTTCCAGCAACTCAACAAACCCTTGGGATCATATTTGTTCTTGATGCTCACCAACTTCTCATAGTTATCACCCCACCACGCCTCGACCCAATTAGTTGTGAACGGGTTGGCCTCGTTGCTGTACGCGCCACTGCCAGGGGTAATGCCCTCAATAACGGCGGTCATGTCCTGAATGGACTGGATCTTCTGTTTCCGGGTGGGAAGGGTGGCGTTCCATGCCCAGGAGGCACCAGATCCTAACTCCCAGATAGCTTCACGCCAGGCGGGAGAAGCACTGGTGGATCCTTCGGTGTAGTTGTACAACACAGGTCCGACGACGGGGATGTAAGGTGTCTGTCCCAGTGATTGGATGGTTGCGAAGTAATCCATGAGGTTCTTGCGGCCCTCAACGGTCTTGAAGATGGAGCGGGGGATCAGTCGGCTTCCGGGGAAGCGAGTGACACCGACAGCGACGGAGCTGGTCTTGACGTATTTCTCGTAAAAGGGGTACCAAGAAGTGAACTCTTCGATGGTGGCGGAACCGCCGTTTGCTTTGGCATAGGCGATCACGCTTGCCAGAGAAACCTCGGCTTGTTTGATGGAGAGGAAAGGAGAGACGTTGACGAGGGTGTTACCAGTGATGTGGCCACCCCATCCTTCCTGTCCCCATTTCAGGGTGTTGTTGACGACAACCTCCATGAATGGAAGAACGTTGGTGGAGTTGGCGGGGAAGTTAATGTTTGCAGCGACGAAGCGGATGGCAGGCTCGACACGGTGAGTGCTTTCGAGGACAACACCAAATGTTCCACCGCCGCCACCGCGGAGGGCCCAGAAGAGATCGGGGTTCTGGAATTCGTTGGCGGTGCGGTAGACACCGTCTGGGGTAACAATCTTGAACTCGAGGACGCGGTCAACGCCGAGACCGTACACGGGGCTCAAGATGGAATGGCCGCCGTTTTGTATCCAGCCGCCTGAGACACCGACGGTAGATGAGTAGCCGCCGAGAATGGTTACGTTGTTTTTCTGTGCAAGTTCGTACGCCTCGTCGAAGTTGACTCCGGCGCCGACGGTGATAGCTTTATATCTGAGAGCGGTGTTTTTCGAGCCGGAGGGAGCGAAGTCTGCACTGTAGTGCATAGATCGCAGGTTTCGCGTCCAAAGTGATAGCGTGTCACGGCCACTGCTGCGGGTGAGGTAATCATGGCCACTATTTTTGATGACGAGCTTCTTGCCAGAGCAGTTGGAGAACTTGAAAGCTTCAATGACATCCTTTTCGCTCTGCACGTCAAGATAGTGAGAGGGTAGATTGCCCTGACGACAGGTGGTATTCACAAACGCCAGGGGATCCATCGGATTGCTGCTGTCGAGGAGGCACTGATCACTAGGATCGGATGCCCACATCTCATCCTGATTGTTCATGTAGCCATTAGGAGAATTTGTTCGCAGCCATGGATCCGAGTAGTTCTCCTGGATAGCGGCGCAGGCAGCATCGTCACGAGCCACCGGGTTCCCATTGTAGCTGGAGAAGCAGGGCAAGGAGAAAGGAGTGAGATTCCGGACGCGGCCTCCAACTGTTGCGTTGAAGTCATTCAAAGTGCAATCCTTTGCAGCAGTCGAGCTTAGTAGGGCCAATACGACCAGACCGGATGACTTGGCCAACATCATTGCAAAGGATGAAGAACACGAAGAGAAAAGTATAAACAGGGCAGAAATAGAAGTCGAATTACAACTGAGACACACTAGGATGCGCTAGAAAGGTTACGCATGAACCAGTGTGTGTCTCAGTTTCGACGAATTTTTGCCCGTTAGGGTAAAAGATCACCGAAATATCTACATGGTCTATATAATTGGCGGAGAATTATATTAGTCAAGCTTAAAGAAGCAATTCCGGTAAACTTTGAATCTCTTGGAGATGAAATTGCCCGTATTATTCCACCCGAGAAATTGGATGGTCCAATGAGTGAAAGCTATAGTTTAAGTGATGACCTCAACCCGGTTACATAGAAATGTCGATCCCCCTGTTCGTCTAAGCGTCTCAGATCTCGGAGAATGGGAAATTTTCTTTTTTTTCCTTTTTTTTTCCGGCTTTTCTATCTTTCCCATCTCTTCAATATGGAAAGAAAGGTGAATACGTATTGGAAAAATGTCCTCACTATCGTGCCTATTGTTGGGGCTGTTCTGGCTACAATTACCTACCTGTTACGTCTCTACGGCAGGCGGATGAAGGCGGTGGGGTTTCTGCTGGAAGATTATCTAATGGGAGCTGGTCTGATCATCTCCTACTGCGTCACAGCTTTTGTAGTAGATAGTGAGTATTCCTTTCTACTAAAACAATATACTAACCGTTATAGCCGCCTTCAATGGTGTCGGTCTGCCAATCGCATCCCTCCCCAAGGATGAACGGGAGCGTATTCAATTCGTATGTTATAGCTTATGATGACCTTGATAGTATGGGAACATCTGACATTTCGCAGGGATCATGGATGATACAGAAGTTCTGGGCCCCGTCAATGGCCTGTGTAAAGATCTCAATTGTCTTCTTCATTAAACGACTATTCAGCTCGATCCGGGCATACGTCGTTATTTCCAACTGTCTGGCCGGATTTATCGCCGCATGGGCTCTCGCTGCTCTGTTGACCAATATCTTCCAGTGCACACCGGTGCAATACTACTACAATAAAGACTTGAAAGGACACTGCATGTCGGGACAGGTTCAATTCTTCCAGGCTATGGGCTCGATCGCATTGATTGAAGATATTATCATTTTCTGCCTGCCAATTCCTGTATTTTGGAGGTTACAGATCAACAGGCGGCAGAAATTAGGATTAACTCTGGTGTTTTCTCTGGGTTTACTGTGCGCGAAACCCCCGGGCATATTATATCGTTTCCTTCTGACAAATCGCAGTGTCTGCATCTTCAGTCTGATGCGCCTGATTGAATTCCGTAAATTCCAGCTCACCGACCTTGCCGGTTCGTTTCTATCCCCAGCTCGTACAATGACCCCGGCTAACATCATCCAGCCTCAAGCGCCAAAGAATCCATCTGGACTTGCCTGGAACTCGACGTGGCCATCATTTGTGGCTGTCTTCCGTTTCTCAACCCACTTGTGCGAGGCGTCCGTAGCAAAGTCAGAAGTGATGCCTCAAAATATCATACCCATCCTTCTACTGGATCCAACCTGCATTTACACTCGATGCGGGGAAAGAAAGGCGAGTTTCGAACGCTTGACAGTGATTGTGGAGCGTCAGCGAATTCAAATAGCCGCAATGCTATGGCTACGGCAGGTCGACAGAGCTCCGATATGGAAAATAATAGGCAGGATGTGGACGGGAGGTCTGGCATGGCTCATAATTCTTAAATACGAAATCAATTTCCAGTCAAGCAGTAATACTCATTTCAATTCCCTCGTATATTGATTCCTACATTGCTAATCTAGCAACGAAGCTCGCCGTGGTCGTTGCTGATGCATTTGTCTAACCCAACGTGTTAGTTAATGTTTTCCATTAAGTAACTAACATGGGCATTTCCAGCAAGGATTGACTTACTTAGATCGAGGGTGGTAGCAACATATTTGTGATCGTCGTCGGCGTTACGGCACTGGCAGGAAAACTCAGCGGTTCCACGAAGGGTGCAGTTGATGCAAGAGCCGGAGTAATTGCCACTGTTTTTGTTAGACTCTCTTTTCTTCGACTTTGACAATAACATTTGCTAGAGGGACCTACTTCTTTCCGCACTACAGGTACGTTAGCATTGTCAAGCTCGAGTGCTTTGGATTGATCTCTTACCTTCAGATTGCCCTTGTTGTTCTTAATGCACCGGTTCAGGTCAAGGGTGCTCCATTTGAGTTGGCCATTCTCCCTCTCCCGGCACTGTGCTCGCAGAGTCTTACTTTCCCCATCAATGTCTTGACATGTGTCGGCAAACTTGGAAGAGCCGGCCAAAGCCATGGCTACGAAGGGAAGAAACCCGAGGGCCTTGAGGAAAAGCATATTGAAAGTGGTTGCTTGGGGGTATTAAGATAATTGTGATTGATGCTGAATAATGTTATTAAAGAATAGTCAAGTTTTGAGGATAGATTGCCTCGTTTATATAGCAATCCAAACGCACAACGACTCTCCGACATCCAGCTCCAGCAAGAAGCGAATGCATCTGATCGCAGGGCGCAACACATCTACGAATACTCCTTACTTTCTTCAAGAAGCCTGGTATGAGGTTACACCCAAACCACCATCAGGTCCCTCGAGGTCATCTTGCATCAGTTCTCCATAGTGACGTATATCGCTGCTTCGGGGCTGGGCCAAATCTTGATTGTCCACAGGTCAACCAAATGGTAGAACGTCATAGGTGAGTACTGCTGCCTGTGGTGTTTTCAAGGATGTTATATACAAATTCTGAAGACTGTTCAAGTGCAATTCAATTACTCACATAGCCAATAAGCAAACATGCCTAGATCGAGACGAACCACCCTCAAGCTTAGATATCAATAGTCCATTTCAGGCTAAGAAGAGTCGCAGAATGGGATAGCGGTGTGTCAAGGACTATCTTGGGCGAAGTGTCGACGTAGATCATGGTATATTGATCTACGATGTCGCTGCAAGGAGCAATCCTCTCGCACGAGCCTGCCACTAGCACACCCACGCATGGGCGTTACCTCACGGCTAAAACCGAGCCAATGAAATTTCATTTCAGAGAAATTTCAATGCTTTACTACAAGTTGTTACAGTAAGTCACTGGATTGGTCTACCCCATGGGCAGTCTTCCTATTTGAGCTACTCCACACTCCGCACTAGGTCCACATGCTTGCTTGCATGTCCTGCCCCTTTCCACGTTGAATCCCCCTTGTTTCGCTGAAAAGCGGGCCAAATAATCTGTTGGAGCAGGAAGTTAAACCACGAGCTGCGTAGATCCTTGAATAACTAGATGTAGAAAAGCGAGAATATGATTTTGCTGCGAAGAAGTTGTGGCAGAGAACAGTCGAGAACAGGACGAGAATCACTCTGTCGCTCAAGCCACTCTTGAAAACTAATACTGCTAGGATAACTGGGAGCCGTTGTAGCGGGGTGCTCGCGATCAGTATCTTCAAAAAGTGCAATTGGCGAAGTAAGGCGTGAGTTCAATGCTTTATCCTTAACCTAGCAGTGTAAACCTTGACCATGGCTGTGGCTAAGAATTTGAAGGGTCTTCATGTGCGACTCGTCAGTGATGCGAGCGCATAATACTCTACTGGAATTGACATCGTAAGGGACGGGCTTTAGTACTCTCAGATATCTCTTACTTTAGAAATCTCTCACTTGAGATAATTTTCAATTTAGTATCTCGATTTAGTGTCTCATCCCTCACAACCCATTCTTAAGCCCACATAGCCCTGAACTTGCTATCGAACTCGCTGTGCAGTTCGTTGAAGGCCTTGGCAACCCAGACCATGGATCTGTGAGAATTGTCCACTGGTTTCTCTTGCGTAGTCTTGGAGCCGAGCCCGTTGGCCGCATCCTTGGAAGCATTGATGACTTCATCTTCAGTTTCATCATCTTCGTCATCCATCTCATCCTCCCAGCTATCCACCACAACCTTCTTCGCTCGGGAACGAGGGGTGGAGACGGGGGCAGCAGGCATCGCCTGCTTGTTGTCCGGTTTCACGCCCATCTTCCCAGCATTTTCAGCCTCAATTTGATCAACCGCCTTGTCGTCTACGAGATTCTCGTAGTCGTCACCTCCGCCGGCAACGTCGAGCATGTCTGCACCAATATTTCCTCCAGGCCTGAGGAAACCCTCAATGCTAGTCTTGATGGTGGCCAGAGTCAACGAGAAGTCGTTCAGCACGAACCAGATATCCCCGCGGCGGATGCGGTTTGCAGTCTCCAACTGAGAAACATTTCCGTGTTTGAAGAAGTCATACAGATATGCATTGAGAGGGACCGCGTTCTCGTTAGGGTCAATAGCCACATATGGAATGACGGAATCCTCAATCCAAACGCCACTGCGAACCATCTGACTGAGTTCAAAGACCGTGTCGCATTGGTCTCCGTTTCCTGAAAGGGCGAAGAATGGGGAGACAATGGATGGGGAGATGTGATCGAACTGCGAGAAACCGAGTTTCCCGGAGGAACTTTCCCCGCCGCACTTCATCCCACTGAATGGTAGCAAACAGTCAGGTTCCTTGATATGCTGCTTGACAAAAGTGGAGACATAGCCAGTGTAAATGTCCAGGACCTGTCTGTTGTGAGCACGTAGGGCGGAGGCTGCTTTTCTCGGTAAAGGTGGGAGAGCCACGATCGAGGAAGGCTTCTTTTCGTTTTGGAACCATTCCAAGGTGGACGCTCGCAGGGGAATGCGCCCGAAAAGGTGGGCCATGACAAGCATCAGAGTACGAACAGTCTTTTTTGGCTTCGTCTCTATATCCTGGCAGAGATTTTGGAGGTATCCCGAATTCAGTAGGGCATGGAAAGCAAAACTAGAATTCTCTGTGTAGTACAGATGAGAGATACAGCCCGCAAAATTCAATGCCATACCTGTACCGCTAAGAAGATTGTTCCGTCGGAGGTATTCGATAGAGAATCGGAGATGGTGGAGCACCGTTTGTTTCATCTCAGGGCCACCGAGGTGGATGCGAGAACTTGAAAGTATCGAGTTGATTGATTTCACGGCAGATGGAGCTTCCTTTGAGCCATGTAACAAGATGAACAGCCGTAGAACCAAACTTGTTGTAATTGGGAAATGTCCATTGAGACTTGGGAGCCTTGAGCTCATCAGTCGTTGTATCTTGGAAGGTGGAACCTGCTGGAATACGACATTTCCCAGAACGTCAAATCCACGTCGTCCTGCTCTTCCGGCGGCTTGTCGGAAATTCAGGGCTGTCAAGAAAATGGAATCGCCCGAAAAGACGACAGTCTTACAAGGCATGTTGATACCCAAGGCCAAAGTGCCAGTTGCAATCACGACACGCAAAAAGCCTTTCCTAAAGAGGATCTCACAGACTTGACGGTACTTGCGATTCATACCAGCATGGTGGACACCGATTCCTCGCTCCAGGGCATCTATCAACCACTGAGGCACCGAGCGCCACTGCAGCTGCTTGGCATAGACAAGGAACTCAGAAGCAGGGACTTTCTTGAAATCAGCCAAATGGAATCCATCCACAGGCCTCTTCGGGTCAAAGAGATCGAGCCAGCCAAAATCAGTAGATGCTGATTCTTTGGCTTGCTCTGCCTTGGAAGTTGGCTCCTCGTCGGCGTTTCCACTTGTTTTCTTCTTGGTAGCCTTTTCAAGCTTCTTCTTTGCTGACATCTTGGATGTCTTCCATACTTCCCATTTGGCAATCTTGGATTTCCATACCGGACTCTCTTCTTTCCATTTTGTCTCAGCATTTTGTAGCTGTGTCAACAGCTCTTGGCATATGTCTTCGCATCTACCGCGGTCGTAATTGAAGAATAGCGCAGGGAGAGCATTCTGAGCGTGTAGCGAAGAGATCAAAGGGAGGGTTGTACCGAGCAGGTTACCGCTTAGTGTGTCAGATAGGCCATTCATCCGAGATACCTGTTTCGACAAGTCCTTCTCTTCTTGGATTACAAGCCCTGTTGGGTGCTCAAGATTGAGCAACAGTGTCTCAAATGGAGATTCCCGGTCTTTCATCCACTCTCCTAGCAACGTTTTCAGTTGTCTCTGCCATTTTATGATATGCACTTTCTGGATGACAATATTGGAGAAAAAGATGGACGGATCCAGAGATGGATCAACAGGGAATTGCTTTGTCTGAAGACCGTTCATTGCTTTCCACAAGGTGAAGCAGTCACGTGGCTCAAAGTCAAGATCATCTGGTATCGATCTGGTGCGGTCCAGCAGGCTGGTGACAGGATGCACGAACGTCATATCATCTGCTCCATCGAGGCCCAAACGGGCCAAGCTAGGAGTATTGGAGAACCCTTTGAACGAGAAGTCACCATGAGGTTGGTACACGTACTTTCGCAAATCCGAATAACGATGCTGGTGCTGGATCATCTTGAGGTCAAATCCATTGGTTCTCTGGGCAAAATCTAGCCAGTTGTAGAATTCCTGGGGGTTTCCGACGGTAGCCGAGAGGGCTATAATTGGGCATGGGGACATCAGAAGCAGTTGTTCCCAAACGACACCATCGTCGGCCTGGCCGATGCAATGAATCTCATCAAAGATGATACGCCTCAAGCGGGGAGTCCATGCAGTGGCGTGCGCGGGATTAAGCAGCATAATCTGAAGAATCTGGGGAACCGTGATGAGAATTTGGCATCCCTGAGGATTATTGATGCGATAGTCTCTCGTGTGGATGGCCCAGACCGACTTTCCACTGGTTTTGGCTGGGAATGATTTAGAGAACCGGGCTTGCAC